GTAAATGCTAAGAGCTGTGTTTCTTCAGTGTGATTGCCTTAAAGTGTATCATGCCGCAGAAACTCGAGGGTCATCAAGTTTCCATCTATATAAAACACCCAACAAGCTGAAGTGCTACTACAGCGTCGCACAAACATGTCAGTAATGTTCTCCCGATAGGCATTCTAACCTCCGCATTATCCAAAACCCCAGTGATGCTTCACTTGAGAGCACTCTTCAGTGTTTTATCTGCTCGTGAGAACACCTATGTTTGTCTGTGGCTTTGATAAAATACACTCTTGTTTTTTTTCCTGTCAGTTTGTTTGCTGAAGACGAGGCTTTAAGTGATGCGCGCCTTGAGTTTTGCACAAAGTTGCACAAAAATCCAGTGATCCAGCTGCCACTTCAAGGCGGAGTGTAAAAACATGCACGTGTGTCTGCTGTGGTTAGCCATTTAAAAAAAACATGCTTCATAACTTGCAGAACAAGTGCCTTGAGATCAGCTGGTGCAGCTCCAGCTTGAGGGTCTCGACCAATTAAATGACAAGCATTCTTGCTGGAAAGAAACTGCAATCCAGTACGTGACATTTAGATGCCATTTGCCATTCCAGTAATTCCTTTTTCCGTGTCTAACTGTTGTGGGTTTTCCCCACACAGCGCAGTCTTCTCGCCAACTGCCAGCGCCTCTCTCAAGATGGAGACACATTTGGCGGTTCACCAGCTGTTTCTCAAAAAAAATAAAAAAATGTGTTGCTCTCGTCTGGCAGCTCCCGGTATTTTGGCACAGAGTTCTGTGGTCGAGGGTGGACACTCGGCGACAGGATTCCCTTGCAAGGTGGGGCCTGGGACCTACAAAGGGTGTTACATATTCCACTGTCTGCATCCACGTCTGGCACAGTCTTCCTTCTTCATCTCATAGTCACTCCCCTTTCATTCTGTGAAGGTCATAGTATCAATAACCCGCAAGTGTGAGATGGATAATCCCTTTGGATTAGGGCCAAGATTTCTTGTGAGGCTCGGTGTTTCAATCAAATCCATGTAACAGATGACAGACTGAAAGACGTCTTACAGTAGCGACACACACACACTAATAGCAGAGATAATAATGAGGAGTTAATGGGGAAGTTTGACAATGTTACGCTTGAGATGTGCAATTTTGTGTGATAGCCTTGATGCTGCTGCTTGACTTCATCCCAGAATACTCATTGAAGTGTCATTTCCGCCGTTAGGGATGGCCGCATCACTTGCCTTTTTTTCTCCCATCGCACAACAGCTTCACAGGGAGCAACTGAGGACAATAGAAAAAGCTGTGTGGATGACGACACCTGCTGGCGGACCGAAGCCAGTGCACCTCAGAGCTTTTCTTTTCAGCTAAGTATGAGCAAGAGATTTGATTAAAAATGATTGTGGAGCTTAAATTTGTGTTTTGCATGACCTACAGATTATGGTTAACAGTGTATGTATTTACAACTGTGCATGGTGTTAAAGCAGCTGTCCTTTTGTGATAACTGGTCATTTTCTTAAAAGCAAGACAATAGCTCCCCCTGTTGTTAAATGTATATAAGTACAAGCTGATATTATTAGCTGTGAAATGTGTCTGTCAGATCCCCAACACCACAGATTCCCAATTAAAAGAATCACTGCTGTCTCGTCCCGAAGCTCTCAGAGGACTGAAAACATGGCGAGTCACCACTGAAATGTGCAACATGGAACTGTGGGGACATGCATACAGTCAAATGAAATGTGCGTGACTTCATAGATTACTCCAGTTATAAGCATTTTCTTTAATTTAATTTTCATTGCACTTCAGCTGGGAAGTAGGAATTAGCATTTTTATGTATGGACTCAAGAATGTGGCGATTCACTATGTTGTACAATAGCTCTCACCGTTAGCTTTAGTAATGTTTATTTCACAGTCACTATGCTTTATATCCATAGCATGACTCAGAGCAGAAGGTTTATGGCTTGTTGTTGCCAGATAGACTGCTGTGCGGCTTGAAAATGGCTGTCATTAACCTGCCTGACAGTGAATATGTAGGGTGAAAGCATCACCCCTTTACAAGCCGCGTTCAAGCATCCTCCAGAGAACCCTGTCACAGGTTGGACCTTAATACAAGTAATTGAATTTTTTCACTGTTAATAGATAACACACCTATACTCAGTGAGGTGTGGAGGAGAAAGTGCTCTAACAATAGTCTCTTTACTGCTGTACCGCTCATAGTGTCTGGATCCATGCACAGCCCCCTGTGAGAGAACAAATGTGGAAGCACAATCAAAGATATGGAATGGTTTCAGCCAGGAAAAAGGCCCTAATTGATTTCCTCTGTGTCTTTGTCTCTCCCGTGCATTTATCTGCAACATGGAGGAGAGGAGAAAAGAAAGACAACAAGAAAGGAAGAGCAAGTGGGAGAAAGAAAGGGGCCATCAGAGGTCATCCTCCAGGAGTGCAACCAAACCGAGGGGAGTTTCTGCAGATGCTCTGCGTCCCGAGCCAATCTATCTCCACAGACTGAGATTCATCAGGGAGAACACCTGCACCGCACTGCTCTGTGCAGAGTTCTGCCTGCATGCTTGTCTGCTTGTCTTCCTCACTGCAGCAACATCTGGCAGAGGAGCAAGTGGATTCAAAAAGAACATCTGCACAGCAGCAAGCAGCCAAGTAAACAAACAGTTCTAATGAAAGTAGTAACAGTTCCCAAATACAAAGCCACATTATGGACCACCTATTTTCCTTGAGCTGAGCCCACATTAAGTATTGGCATTGTTTGCATCACATCAGCTTAAAAGAAACCTCTCTTGTGTCGGGGCATGCATGACAAATAACACACTTTGCGCAGGGATATGCTGGAATATACTGCAATACTGCATGTTTTTACTGTTCCCCAGGACATTCAGTTGGGAAGGTAAGCTTATGAATTACAGTGCATTGCAATGAGCAAAGTTTAAAACAATATGCAGCAGCATTCATTTGGATAATGGCTTTGTTTTATGCAAAAATGCACTGTATGTAGCAGTTTACATCGGGATATAAATATATTATGCAACAGCATCCATTGGATTATAACGCTCTTTCATTGTTTAACACGCAATTATAGTCCACATCAAAATGCTGTATAGTTCGAACTACGCGGTGGCACTGAGAAACATTCCTAAATTCACTATAATTTATTCTGAATGACATAGTGCCAGTGTAGATGGTTGTACACACCCATACATAAACACACGAACGCATACTATCTATCGCTTGTTCTTTTCTATAAAAGAGCCCCAGGACATAATACAAGATCCCTCCAATGCAGCACAGTTCCAACGTTGAGCCTGCACACTTGAGTAGGAGTGCGTGCTGCAAGTACATGTGATTGGCCTGTAACAGTCATGTGACTGCAGACTGTAGTCCCCTGTGTTAGGCCACAGTAATTGAGGCTTCCATATGGTATAGATCAGATGTAGCCTTTCACCACAGCATTCCTCCAGTATAGAAGCTCTACGCTTGGATCCACGTTGAAAACTGAGCTAATCAAACAACTATCTGTGGGAGACTGCACCATATATATTCTCCCATCAGACAGTGTCACACCTACCTTTCACAAAAGACTGGAAAGGATCTATTCTCTTATGGGTTTTTAGAAGCATTCTGATTATGACACAGCAACAATATACAGTAATAGTAATACAGTACTACAAAAATCAAGGCGAAAACCTCTATTTGTAGTAGGTTTTAAAGGAAAAACAGTGTTGCTTGTCTTCACTGCAAACCAAATATCACATTTTTCTACAAAGTACAAAATCCTGCCTTCTCACTGTTTTACCACATGTATGCAGATCCATACAGGTGGTGGTGATAAGCTTAATACATGTCCATTGTATGGCTAGAATCCTGTATATCCTAAAATATCATACCCTACACTATGCACTTCTGCCTTAGCTGCATACTTTATACATTCAGTGCTGCACAGTGAGGCCAAGTATGAGATAATGAATGCAACTCCAGCTTGCTTTCATCATATCTGATCAGAAGCATTTGCAGACATGTTGATAATAAATTAAGCTACTAGACTAAAAAACCAACACCCATAATGTAAAAAGTATGCACGACACGTATAGAGCAACAATACATCAACATGACTTCAACATTATCTAGATGGCCTAAATGCAAATACAGAATTAAGCATCAACTACATGTGCTGCTGTAGTAATTACACCAGGAGGGATGAGCCTGCACCATTCTCATACATGCAGTAATTAAATTCAAAAGAGCCTACTCTGCTTTGCAGCTAGCCCCCATGGGGTCCTCCCCTGCTGGTCCATGGACCTCTCCTGGCACCACAGAGCTCAGGGATTTGAAAGCACAGCATTGACTTATTTTAGGGATGATACATTTTCAGGTAAGTTCCAAGAAAACTGCTTTTTCTTTTTTTTTTAAAAAAACATACCAACCTCTTGAGCTTGTTCACTTTTAATGACTGTAGGAGCTGATACTTACCCTATTAAGACAAGGCAGTGCATATGTTTTAATACAACTTGCTTCAAGTCCTCCAAATATCGCGATACTTCGTTGCTGGAGCCGTTGAAGACAAGCGATAATTGATCAAACTTTTAAGCTAGTATCCGTTTTTTAATGAAATGAGCCAGTTTCCACACGAAAACTGCGGTTATCCGTAATTTTGCTATCAAAACTAGTGTTTACACGAGAACATAGCTAATTAACTACAATATAATGTTAATTAAGTGACTGGCAGTTAGTTTTGGAGCAGCCAGTGGCCTCACTTGGACGGACGTTTAGCGGTACGTTATATTAAAAAAATGGCGTCGTTACTGTTTTTTTAAAAAAAGCTAGCAGTTAAGAGAAAGAAAATTAGCGTACTTAAAGTGGCTATTTAGCGTATTACTTGTTATGTATACTGCCGCCAAAGTTGGCGTTTGGAAAGACGTGCACTGTCTCTTTAAGGTCTCTCGGCCAGTCTGTTTCGTATTGATCAATCCACCATTTTCCAACACACAGCGGCGGCAGTGCTAACACAGCTCCGGCAGCGGCACACAGAGAAGAGAGCTACCCCTCTACCTGGAGAGGAAGCCAGGGACCGGGGGCAGTCATGGCAGCGAACATGTACCGGGTTGGAGGTAAGGTGGCGGGGATAACATTTTAGAAGCTTCCCGTGAATTTTTATGGCGGACTCGCCACGATTCACGGCGGGTCTTTTATGTATTTACAGAGCGTGGTCCGTCTTTCCTTCCCTTCTTTTATTTCCCTAAAGCTAAAGAGCCTTGTGCTTCACAGATGATGATGATGGTGACTGTGTGAAGAGGAGGATGGTGATGAAGAGTAGTGGTTCTCGTACAAAAAAAAACTGCTCCCGGGTTTTCTACGCTTTTCTTTTGGTGTTTTTTTCTTCTTCTTCTTGTTACTTAGCACGAACCCAAACAAGTACTTAAGTGTAAGGATGCACCTAAAGTAACATGCATTGTGTTTATGTGTATTTAGGGGTGTCGCGGCGGACATATTCTAAAAAGTTTTGGCGTGCCATTCAACTATTGTCCCGACTGCTCGCACATAACAATAAGTAACATTATAAGTACTTGAACTGACCTGCACAAACGGCTTAAGACTCAGCAAGGAGGGCATGCTTTTACAGTGCAGAGAAAGGAGCTGGGACAACAAAAAAAAAGAAAAGTTGAAGGCAACATCAACTAAAACGAGAAAACTGTAACAAAAATCTCATAGCATGCTCGAAAAGGTGCATTTTACATGTTTATTACAAGAGTATCTTTCCTCTTTTAATTTTTTTTTCATACAGGCATCCCCAGTTAATACCTAATTAAGATTCCTGATTTCCCCTCCCACTTATTTTCTGCTTGTGTTGCCCTGATTCACATCCTGTAAGCACTGAGTAAAAATAGTCACATAAAAGTTACTGGAGCTGTAGCGTACTTTAGGTATGGTTGTAGTTACCTTTTCTCATTTCCCTTGATCACTAGATATAAGCAAGGATGTGGATGGTTAGATGTTTGGTGTCTTCAAGCAGAAGTAACTTTGAATTGGCAAAATGTGTCATCACGTAAAGGTGTGCTATGACTGTAGCGCTCCACTTCCTTTACCCTTTGGAAACTGGCCTGTCTGCTTTTCCATTAAGCAGAATTTTTACAGGCAAGTTTTTGTTTTTTGAGACGATTGTGATGTGCTGTTATTCTTGTTGTGGTTGAGTACACTAATTGCATTCTTCTATTGGCAAGTCTAAAGAAGAGGGGGTGGAACGCAAGTGTGATTAATTATCTTTTTAAGATTTATTTACATGTGATGAGTGACAGTTGTCTAGTGAAACGCGAATGTGGTGACTGTCCTTGACTTGGTGCCTGCATCAAAAATAGCCTGTAGTGAACGTCATAGCCCTCTGATTTAGTCAAATGAAACAAGGCCTACCTGAGTGAGAACAGGATTATGTCCAGAGCAGGGCAGAAAGTTAACACTTTACCAGCCAAATGTTGCTTGATTTACTATGTCTCTTTACTCTGTCAACCTCTTACACTAAGATGCCAACCAGTTAGGCGTGTATGTCTGGTCCTTCGCACACTAATTTGGAGTAAAGATTAATTTATTTTCCTATCTGTCTACCTTGAAGTTTTAAGAAAGTGTATTTTGGCCCACTTGCTATAGTACTAGAACAAATGAAATTTAATTAATCAGAATGGATTAACGATTGAACTGCACTAATACCGTAAAATTGTTCCATCCGATCTATACAAAAAATCTTTTTTGCCATTTGTAGGAAAAACATAAACATTACAAATTATCCTAATTGGCCTATTTGACCTAAATGAATGTGAAACCACAAAGCATAAAAATCACATTACTAAATAAACATACTATTAAATGGTTGTTCCACAGTCACAGTTATAATTTAAATTAAAAACAATTGCAATTTAGGCCAAAAAAAGGCTTAATAATTGACTGAAGCTTCTCCTGAGGCCAATTCAACCCAAAGCCAGAACAAAGCAGAGCCCTTGAAAAGATGGCTGCTACTTTGCAAGACAATGCAGGATCATCTTGGAAAAGCAATGACTTCCCTTGGATGAACAGTGGACAAAAGCTGGCTCCGTAGGCCTTGATGTCTTTGTTTTTACCGTGCAGGCCACAAGCCACTCTTCCGCCGCCTGCAGTTCTTCTTCCTAGTGATTTCCCCCTTATGCAGTGAATGTTGCTGTTGCTCAAAAAGTATGGCTTATACCATAAGTTTTGTCATCCTAATGGTGAGAGCGGAAGAGAACTTGTCTGGAGTTTTTGTGAACTGGCCAGAGAAGTTTAAAACAGTTGCCAAGACTTGCTGCAGATTTATTTCTCAGGTGAAAATGACTCTGAGGAGACAATCTTGATTTGAATGCTTTAAAGGACAGATTCACAATTTTTGAAATCTGTCTCAAAACAGAGCTCAGGTGTCCATATGAAGATTTAAATGGGTTTTAGTTGCTGCAATCATTTCTTATGATCATACTGGCCACTGAAAGATTCCTTAATAATCCTCTTCCCATGTAAAATGTATTCCTCAGTATGTCTCAATCTAATATAAGACCGTAGCAGTCCTAGTTGGTTCTCAGATCAATCTAAGCCTGGTGTTAAAGCAGAAGACAGGATTTTACATCTATGGAAGTATGACTGCAAGGTAAATAGTAATATGGCATTCATAGTACAATAAGCCATCGGTTTGTGCTTGTGTGATTAGCCAATGCAGTGCTTAGCTGCAGGATGTTGTGTTGTGACAGTAGTCGTCTTGCATAGCTAGACCTATCTCCTTGGAAGTGTGTCAGCGCTGAGAACGGTCTGGCAGCACCTCGTCGTCATTTTTGCAACAGTGGAAAAACGGCTTGGCTTGTTTGCATTTCTTTAAACCAATCACAATTGTCTTGGGTGATGCTAAACCCAAGGATGCAGTGGTGGCAGCTCTGCAAAATGGAGACAACGCAAATGGTTTTGGTGGAACGTTTGCATACAGAGAGGTGAGCATTTTCAGTAAACACGATTAAACAAATTCTCTGAAAGAACCAAGCACACGGGTCTTGTTGCACGATCCAAGTCTTCTTCAAAACTTGCTATTTTCAACTTGTAGGGTGATGCTTTGTGGTGGTTGTTGTTGTTGTTTCCTTTTGTGAAGGGGATTTTGAAAATGGTTGCATGCAGATAGCTAAAGCAAAGGAGAAAGATGCGTGAAATGCGTGGCTGAAATGACAGGATTATACCCAAAGTCTACATCTGATGAGTTGGACCTTGAACGGACCTTTACCAAGGTACTTTTTTGTGGGACAACAGCACTTTTCTTTCTTTATAAACTGGCTCCCTCAGTGCTGTGTCACTGAACTGTGTTTTCTTGTGTGTTTTCTGAAATTACAGAAGACTACTAAAGTTGATCTGAATGTGACCTTAGCTTGACAAATCAAATAATATATTCCAAAGTTCCTGACTTTGTAGGTGCAAAATTCCATCTTGATTTTTTCATACACAGTATTTATTTTTTCTTTGCATGCACAGTAGCACAAAAGAGTACTCGCTTAATGTGAGATCAAAACTGCTGAAGGCTGATTGGAATTTCTGATTAACTTTTTTGTGTATTTCTTCGCAAAATAAGGACTGTGAGTATTTGTCGTCTATCACTTCCATTGAAGTGCACTTCGAGGATGGGTACATGACAATTATTTGAAGACAAATGTAAAAAAAAATTTGTGAAGCTATCCTTTAAATAAATACTGGACTAATTACTGAGAATGTTGGAGGGTGACAACTCTTGTACAGAATGTGCTAAATGTGTTGTAGTGTTTACTAACTTAAAAGTGACAAACTTGGGTGTCAGTTCCCACATTTCTTTTGGCTGGCGAGGATTTTTCCCATGCTGCCAGCTATGATTCAGAACGTGCTTAAAGGTGTTGCACTGTTTACTAATCTACAAACTGACTAACTTGCAAACTTTGACAGTGCCCACACTTTGTTTGGCTGATGGCTGGTCTTAATTTCCCACGCTGGCAGTTGTCTCTCTGGCAGGTCTGGTGGGTGTACTCACAGAGTGAAGATCTGAGGCTTCTTTGCTGCCATCCTGCCAAGTTCAGGACTGCCAGTTGCATGACAGCTTTTACATCCATTCAGCAAAGTGTCTCCATCATCGCATTTCTTAAGAGGCCAAACAGCACATACATCCATCACAATAAACAGTGCGAAGAACTTGTGCTTCTTGGTAGGACTGCACATACTTGGAATTTAAGATCTAGTGGTCTAAACCGCTCCAAAGTAGTTGTTTGAGAAAAGAGTTTTTTGTAAAAGCTGCACAGGTTTGCACACAAGCTGCAGTTGTTGCTGCAGCATGTGTGTGTGCAAGACAGATGCGTGATGGGAGTTGCTTCTTATTATCATAATATCTAATCCCTCTCAGGTTAAACTCCATGAGTAACATTTATGAGAAATTAGTATTTTTATATTGTGGTCTTTAATCTAACAAAGGTCAAAAGGGAGATAGAGCTTATGAGTTTTTTTCCTGTCAATACATGTTTTGTTTTTTTTCTCTCCTTCAGCCAGGAACCACGTGAGATATCTGTAGGCCAGGTAGGCAGATATGCTCAGGGCTCACTCTATGCATATGTATTCAGCAGTGTCTCTGTTGATCATGCCTTTAGAGTAAACGTGAGTGATATAAAAGTGTAAAAACAAGGTGTGAATTTGATTTCAGAATATTAAATTACCTGCTATTACCATAGAAACCTCCATCCATACTATGACAGCATGAGCCATAATCTCTTCCATGGTTGCTGCTCACGACAACAGACACACCTCTCAGTGTGAGTGTGTGAGTAAGCATTGGATGGGGTGTGGGCTGTGGAGGGGGTATGTGTGCATGGACAAGCGTGGGCAGATGTTCATGCTCTTCGATTCCTGCTTCACTGTCTCCTTTCCTAGCTCTAGCCCAGCCCTTTTCATTACGGTGGTAGCATACGGCACTGTATGTAGGCACTGTATTCTCTGGTGATTCATGTGATTTCTGAATCTCAAATGAACTGCATCCCTTTGTCAAATAGGAATTTTTCAAACCATACCTATTCTTGTTGATTACTTACTGAGTAGGTCTGACAGTGCTAGGGTTGCTACC